CCGCTCGAGGAAGTCGATGATCAACGGGACGACAGGTGATACAAGTGAGGTGAATTAGAGGAAGGGAATGGAGTAATGCATTTTAAGCCCTACTATGGACTTCACAGACTTCTTGTTACGGTACCTTAAAAATGTCCAGCCAATCAGAATGGGTCACTATAATTTTTCATGCCACGTGTTGCTATGTCACGCGAGTGTTTATCACATCTCCATCCAAAATTGCGACCGGATTGTCTGAGAACTAAGAACGAAGATATTCGCGAGGGTGATATTATACAGACTCCAACCGAGGCTTGAACACCAAACAGTGAAGCCTCTGAGGGGGGAGGGGCTGCATTGGACTCATGCAACATGAGCAGACCTTGAGTCATGAAGTGAATTTAATATTTATGGCTGTACCGAACAAAATCACCCACAGAAACTGAACTGATTCCCCAAGATGCCTGGGTAAAACGTTTACACAGACTTTTGTTTTTCACGTGCCGGAGATTCAGCAGAATCTTATCTCACCGCGACTGTTTCTTCCAAACTTTACCTATATTTTTGAATAATTTCTTCGTCGTAACATTCCTGGCTTCTTCGCCCTACTTTCATATTCATCAGACTTTCCAGGCAGGCAGCATATGTAACAAGCCTAATGGTGACTTGTCCTCTGTCGGATCGGAAAATATGATTGCGCTGCTTGCCAAGATAGCGGTAAATATCCCTGTACTGGGCGATCTTGCTGAAGAGCAATCCAGCTCTGAAAACAAGGCAGTTCTTCCTTAGACCATTCCTGCAATTTTATCTCAACAATTCAAGTCTATATAGTGCTCCAGAAATATATGAATGTGTACCGTTCCAGGAAATGTACGATGGTAGCGATACCAGTAACTGTGATGTTGCTAATTCGTAAAACTCGTGTATTAGAGAGCCTCTTCTGAATTCTCGATTTTATGGATACTATGATATTTAGTTCTTTGTGTAGTAGATACTCATTGTAGTAGACCAGCCCTGCTAATGCCTACTTTTGCTTAGGGAATTAATTTGTGTTTTATTGATCTGTCAAGTGTTTTCATCAAACGAGCAATTTTCTATCGTTCTGTTTCCAAACGACTTAGAGCAAAACAAGCGCGTTCTCTTCGATGATTTGGGATGTTACCACTGATGGAGTCTTGATTTACTCAAGCAGTTTTATTTACTAATAACAATAAGTTTCGCTTAGGAACCTCCTTGAAGATGGAATTCTTTTTCATTCTCTATTATCGCATTTCAGCTTAAANTTTGTATTGTTCGATAACACAAATTGAAAGAGAAGCATAGGCTACTTGTTTCACGACACAATGAACGTTACCTGTACAAATCCTGTCAACAATCCTATCAGTTCCTAGAGCTGTGTGAACGGCGTCTTCATCCATCGCGTTTTGTAACACGGCAAATCAGCAATCTACTTTAATGCACATGTACAACTGTTCTATAGAAACGAGCTCGGGCACAGTTTAGAAACAAAAGGTTCCTAGTGCTTTCAACTGGGCAAAAAGCTGGGCTTTCGAAGGAAAGGCCGTTATCTGTACTTCAGTCCGGCGCCTTTACTGCAGAAAACGTGAAGAAAATGTCGATGCTAACGAGATCGACAAGTAGTGACGTGAATACCCACCCGCCGGTCTACCACCTCAACAAAATTTTGGTAGGGACACGTCTTGTGGAGAAATTTCAGAGGATCTCACATTAGTAGAGTATGCGGGCTGAAAGCTTCAAATTATTCAGGTAGAGAACCGTTTCTTGAGGATAATCACACCTCGACGTGGTGGGAGGTTGGCGCTCAAGCATGTAGTCATATCCAATTTCAAGTAATTCTGGTTTATTTCTGGTTTTATTTATTCTGGTTTACAACAGTATTTCTATTCTTTCTAGCTTTTAGTGTTTCATTTTAGCTGCCACAGTTTACCTTGACCGACTTGCCGCTTTGCGTTCAAAGCTGTGATTAGGAAGATGTGCGAGGAACTGGAAGGATGGCGACCCCTTGCTTGCGGCTCCTTTGTCTGTCGGCCTGACGTCGCAGTTGAATTCATTCTTCACGCGATATGTTGCGCATAAGCCCTGGCAGGTCATGTCTAAGTCATCGCGTTCTGGATTAAGGAACAGGACCCGCTCGGAGAAATATCAACCTACCAAAGGGGAGGCGTTCTGTCGCCTGCCACATGCTTTCGTCACTACCATCCGAAGTCGGCTTGTATGGTCCGAAATCTCTCGCCAAAGTTTTCTACTGCTCGACGGTGTTTGCGTTGTAGCCTCCATTATTTTTTCACTATTTATGTAAATGTCCATATATGACTAATAGTTCACGTCTGCATGTCTGAACGGCTAAGATTAGGCCACCTCAGCTCCCTTTGATCCAAAGTTTCTATAGCCATGATGGTGAAGATTCAGCAATGGCCCTGGTAAGGCAGTGTTGAGACTGCAGGGAGCAAGCTGGCTTAATCAGCAATAAAACAGCTCAGCACCCCGCACACTGGCGACCAGCAGTCTCCGGCATCAGACGGTATGGCTGCTTCCATAGCCCTGGTATAGCAGCTTCCGTGCCGGCCGGCCGGCGTGCCACGAGGCAGTGCTAGGGGGAGGAGGGCGGCAGACGGTCGGTCGAGGCGTTGAAAACAAAGAAGAACAAGATCAAAAACCAAACAACCAGGGGCTCGTACAAGTGCTTTTTGATCCTGTCTCTCCTTGTTTACAGCCCTTCGAGGGGCTGACCGACCGTCTGTCGCCCTCCTCCCCCCCTAGCACTGCCTCGTGGCACGCCGGCCGGCCGGCGGACTATGAAAGCAGCCTATGGCGACCGGTGAGAAGCGAAGAAATCTCGAGTTGGACAGAACGCCTTAGATTTCGGATCATGACAGCACTCCCTCAACACGACACGGAGACTATTTCCTACTTTATACCTACAACGTGAGCCAGTCTCCTCCAATGCCGTTCTCCATGAACCCCTCGATGCGGCTGGTCACATTAAATATCATGTGATTGCGCTGCAGGGAATCAAGAGCAGGAGGACCGACGTCTGAAGAATGAACGATAGAGTCCTCGCCATCCTTGGTGGAAACTTCGATCGCGAAACGTCGGCGGCGTTGGTTTCAATCATCGACTTCTCCGCGCTAAGATCAGATTCAGTCAGAGCGGCAAAAGATCTCTCAACATCGCGCAAAGAGCTCGGAGCATATTGTATACGACGCAGATGTTCTGAATTAAGCCTCATCCCGATACGACTCTCAGGTCTTGAGTGACCCGACCGAAGGCTACTACGCGGTGGTTCGGGGTCTCCTCACCTGAAGAGGCCAAGCCTCCTCGAGTGGATAACTCTGCCTGCATTTCAGATGCGACGTAGGATCTTCTCAGGACAAGAAAAAATTTAAGGCTTGACCAGAACACCACACATCTTCGAAGGCTGCAAGCGAATACCAACTGTAGACAGGCAGTGCGGCGAGACCTTCAGCTATACAGGGAGAGGCGGCTACTGGAGGCAGCGTCGAAGACAACTAGTCTGAGAAAATGTCATCGGGATCTTCAGGACCACAGTACCCACTTTCGTGTTCGAAGAAGGAGGAAGGAACAATTACAACATTGCGATTTGAGACAAAGGAAGTCATACAGAGGTTTTACACCAACCTGTACCGATCCACGGCACACTTGCGTAAAACAAAAATCCCTACAGGCGGAAAAGCACCTCGGATCCTTCCTTTGGAGGTGAGAGTTGCAATTGCGAGCATGAAAAGGGGTACAACTCTAGGCGCCGACAAGATCTCAGCCGACCTACTCCGTGCAGATGGCTCGAACAAGATGCCTTTCTTGCAACACACATGACATTCTATCTCCAGATGGAGAAGGTCTCCAACCAATGTAGGAACTGAAGCTCAACCTGTGAAGCAGGCCGGGTTCTGGAAGGGATTCAGCTGCCTAGATCACATCCAAGCGGTTGCAGTGGTCATCGAAGTGTGCCGTGAATGCCTCTTGTCCTTACCTCTGTTGACTATGAAAAAGCTCTGACAGTGCCGAAACGAATGCGGCTCTGTCAGAACTGGTCGATCGAGGATGGAACCTCTCAACACGAGAACACTAGCTGACTTCAGTAGTCGCTGCAGGGCGAGGTGAAGCTGTTACAACGAGCTCTCTCCATCCTCATAGGGGAGGGTGTGAGACAAGGCGACACTATTTCGCCGAAGCTGTTCACAGTCACGCTGCAGTGGGCTATGAAGTCGCTAGACTTTGACGAAAAGGGCATTCGTATGAATGGGCTTTACGAAGTACATCGTTCTCTTTTCAAGCAGCATTGTGGAATCAAACTATGCTTGCTGTGCCTAATAAAGCAGGAAAGAAGGTAGTGTTGCTTATCAACCGAACAAAGACACAGTCATGAAGAATGCTTGGGTTGACGAAGGTCAAATCAAGATCGGTGGTGCACCTATCAAGGAGACCCCGTCCTATGTCTTTCTCGGGCGTTCCATGAATATGGACAACGACATGAAGAAAGAACTGTTGAGACGGCAAGAAGTAGCGCGGGCGGCTTTCGGGCTTCTGAAAGAGGTCACCAACCATCTGGGTGACCCGGAACTTTGCTCTAATCTGTTCGATTCCACAGCTCTTTCTGAGCTCTGGTGCGGGTCGGAGACTTGGGTGACCAGTGCACCCACGTCAAGGGCCTTGAGCACAAGACACAGAACGCTTTAGCGACGTCTTTTGAGGTTCAACCGGCTCACTCAATATCGAGCCGGACTCATCCTCCGATATGCGCAGAATGTCTCGACTCCGCGGTCCGGTGGAAAACACGAAGTACGCAAAATTTCGGTGAGCCGGTCATATAATGAGAAGAGATGATGACAGATGGACAATAAGGACAGTCGTGTGGGCTCTCGTAGGATATCCATCATCTAAGGGTAGGCCTGCTGCGAGATGGGGGATGTGCGCGAGGATCACTTAAACATCTGTGAATGCAGCTGAACGATTCCTCTCATCGTCATATCTTCGTCAAATCCTGAGTCTACCGTAGGTGGCAATCGCGAAAGACAGAATCGAGTGGTCTGTTGCTGGTACTCGCACCTGAGTGAAGACGAGCCGTATAAGAATAAATGTCGTGAATAATTACTCAGATAGGAAGGCATACCGAAAGGAAAAAGATACTAGAGGGCCAAAAATCGCTTGTCTGGTGTAAGCAGAGCTTTTAAGACATATAGTTCATTCGACCGATGGCCTCCCAATTTGACAAACCTCATGGAACTAGCTTCTATGTGTAGAGCATCCTTAGGCATGCGTAGAGCCTTCCCGCATCCCCATCTTATGGAAGCGAAAAAAGAAAGAACAATGAACGCCAACTTCGGGTGGAACAGGGTAGTGCCTCATTCAATTTCCGGATTAGTGAAACAATTTATATTATCTACTGTTTCAAGCTCAAACCAAGTGCAGGTCTGGTGAGCTCCCGTGCTAGGTGAACATGAGCAACTAAAAAAAGCATACTGTGCCGGCGCATGACATAAGGGTGTGTTTACAAGGGAGGGATTCCAATTCTAAGTGGCCATTTAAAAAAACAAACTGCTATGAGTGTTTCTGGATGCTAATTTCGAATTTCCTTTCTAAATTTGCAAAACGATTCTATGAACGAAGTAACGAAGGTGGTTCTGGATGAGTGCTCAACATAAACAAACACCTAACGTATGTATGCAAGTGCCCTTACGGCGGCAATTTAGTAGTGGTAAGCGTGACATTTCTTAGACATGAGACCATGGATTGGGTTTCGTGAGGGATCTGCCTTTTGCATTTTGCGGGGTGCTTTCCTCAAGAAAGGGAACACCCTCGTGTGCGATTTAGCTACTTTCAGTGACCTTTTTGATGCCTGAGAGGATTCGGTTTGTGCCCTTATCGTATAGTACC